GCTAAAGTTTCGTCGGAACGAAGTTACGGAAAGTTAATTAACAAACGGAAACGTAACAATATATAATAAAAGAACGTAGACACCTAAGAAGAACATACATAAACAACAGAGATCCACACATCAAAACTCAGATAAATACATTAAGAAACAAAATACGAAACGAAATAAAACAGTTAATATAAGATAAATGGGATTCTTGCTGTTCACAATTAAATGAGCATACAAATCTAAAGCAATTCTGGACACTTGACACGATTCACAAACAATCAAAATGCCCATAAAATCTATCCAACTCTAAATTATGCAAATAAGAACATATACTAGCATACAAAAAGCAGAAGTTTCAGAAGAACCTTTGAGAAACACATGATCAACCAGGTATGACTACTCATTATTTTAATACATTAAATTAATATATATTACAAAACAAACACATTTACACACCAACTTTTCCAGCTGATACCATTAACCCTCAAAATTTACAACAAACAAATAATAATGATCTAGCTAGCAAAATGACAACTACAATCACCAAAGTAGAAGTTATGACGTCTATAAAACATACAAAAAACAAAGCACCGGGAGAAGATAGTATCTAAGTCATTCTCCTAAAAAAAATGGCACTCAGAAATTGTTTGACCACTTAACGGCACTACTTAATTTATCCCACAACTCAGGTTATGTCCCAGCCTCTTGGAAGCAAATAAATGTTCTTACGTTTCTAAAGGAAGGTAAACCAGCGAATAAACTGGAAACCTACCGTCCAATCAACCTGTCCAGCTGCATAGGTAGAATTTTAGAAAGAATAATAAGCAATAGACTCTCCACATTCCTGGAAATAACATCAAAATTACCTGAAGTACAAAACTGTTTCAGAAAATTTCGGGAAACTGCAGATCATTTAGTCATATTAACTGAAACCATAGTAATAAAAACAAATGCAATGTAGCCTGCTTTCTTCATACAAAGAAAGCTTTCGAAACTGTATGGCATAATGGTCTACGATTCCTCATGAAACAAATGGCATTACCGACAGGGATTATTCGCTTGTTTTCTAATTTTTTGGAAAATATAAAATGTAGAGTGAATGAGGAGTGCACCTGCTCAGAGTATTTTACTTCTAAAGCAGGTGTTCCCCAGGGAGGGGTAGTTACCCCTACCAGATCCAAATTTTAGTTTTACTTCTCAATTTGCAAACGAGATGACAGCATGAAAGAGATCTACGACCCCCCTCACTACCAGCCACAAATTTACAACCAGTACTAAATCAAATAGTTGAATATTGTCGAAAAGAAGAA